GGGAACAGCCGCTGCCGCCTGCCCGACGCCCCCCAGGCCTGCAGGACCCATGGCCCTGCTGCTTCCCCCTGCAGCTGGGTACCACCCGGGGATGCTCCGAGTCTCCCAGCCTCTGCCCTCTGGGGGACTGGGGGTACCCAGGGTTTGCCCTGGAGAAGTGGCTCTGCTTCCCTGGAGGAAGCTGCGGTTCCCTCTGGCCCTGCCAGCGGAGATGGGACCACAGCCCTGCTCCTGGCTGGGCCTCGGAGTGGAGGAAAGGGTCTGGGGAAACAGGCATGGCTGGTGGCTGAGCAGCTGGCCAAGGCTGGGGTCACGGGCCCCCTCCAGAGGTGTGTGTGCTCTCTTCTCCCTCCCCCAGGCATTCTGGAACAAGGTAATGCTTCCCTCTGTTCACTCTGGCCTCTAATGATAACCAGCAGGGAATGCCCTTCAGTCTGCAGTGCTGGGCGCTGCCTGCAGGCTCAGGCAATTGGGCTGGGCTCCCCTTGAGTAGCTCCAGGGTAGGATGCTCAGTCCCTGCCTCAGGCACGGGGGCTGAGGGGGGTCCCTGGGGCTAATCCCCTGCACAAACAACGGCACATTCCCCAGGGCCGGATCCAGTCTCCCAGTGACAGGGCTCGGGGGGACGGCTCACTGCCCCTTTTTGGGTGCCCGCTCCCAGCAGGGCTGCTCCTTGGTCTCCCCTAGTTTTCCCACCATTTTCCTGCACATCCAGCCCCATGCACAGCACGGACCAGAGCCTCCAGTGCTGTCTGGCTCTTGTGGTGGGTCCCTGTAGTGGGTGAAGGGGTAAACTGAGGCATGGGGCAACACGGGTGGCCAGGGCTGGGCTCCTTCCCATGCTACCCTGCCTGCATCTGCTGCTCTCAGCCTTGTGTCACTGATGTACATCCATCCAAGTCTGGCAGCTCCAATCTATAAACCTCATTTACCCCAAAACACCCCCCAAATCTGGGCTAGGACATCGTAGTCTGGGATGGGGCTGCCACCACAGCCACAGGGACCCCAAGGGAGACCGGGTTTGCCAAACCACACTGGGGCCTTTTGGCACGTTGTCTGTGTGACTGACAGGCAGAGTAGGACCATGATGCCTGTTCCTGCCCATCCTGGACCCAACACCCATCCGGGAGCACTTGGCCCCAGTGCAAATTGGGGCGTTAGGAGAGCCGGCACCCCAGGGAGGAGTGCAGTTACCAAACCTCACTGTGCGACACAGCCCAGCATGGCACTGGGCTGCCTCCCTGCGCTGGATACGGCCCAGGGAACAAGGTGAGAAGAAGATTTCAGAGCCAGTTTAAGAAGCCAGAATCCCTTTTTCCCCCTGAGCATCCATCCGGATTTCTTCGCCAGTACTGAAACGCCTTTGGATCGCTGCTGTGCCATGCTGTGCTGTGCCGTGCTGTGTGGGTGCCCAGGCTGGGTGGTTGGCTCAAAGCATCTCCAAAAAATCGGTGAATTAAAACAGTCACTCTGAGCTCTCACTCCGACGTTGTGCTGAGCTGGATCACAGCCAGCCAGGTCCCCTAGCTTCCCTCACTCCTGAAGGATCCCAAGGGCCTCAGAAGATCCCAGGGAGACATATGCCAGCCCTGTCCCAAAAGCGAATCCAGATGACCCCCGGGGAAGGGCCCTTCCCTTTGTAGCTGCCTTGGGCACTCTGCCACTGTCCGTTCCTCCCCTCTCCCTTCCAAATACCTTCCCTGCAGCCAGCGCTTCCAGGCAGCCTCCAGCTTCCAAAACACAAGAACTTCCCCCCAGAACGCTGGTGCTGCCCCCCCGGGAACACTGGAACCCCCACACTTGCCCTCCCTGCCCTGCAGCAGCCAGGCTGAATCCTGCCCTTTCCACTCTGCTTTATGTCCTTCACATCCTGCCACCTGTACTGACTTATTTAAGGAAAAAAAAAAAAAAAATCAAACCAAACCCAAAAAAAAAAAAAAAAAAAAAAAAAAAAAAAAAAAAAAAAAAAAAAA